GTTAACTTGACAACGTTGCATGGACTCGCATGTACACCGATAATGCCATTTATATACATTGGGCCTCGCATGTTCATTAGATATAATAGAGGGACTCACATATACGTTGCAAATTTGTATATCTTAATTTTTGAAAAATTTTACCCCTCAAGCAGGGTTGTTATTAAATATTATTAGGACATTCTAAAAATTCAAAATCCATACTCTAAAAATTGTTCCCTGCGGCGGGCCTCGGGTGGCCTGCCCGTTATATCGGGCCTCGCTTTTGTTACTGGATACGTATATATATATATATATATATTTATATATATATATATATATTATAGTTTTTAGACAGCCAAGGCCAAAACTTTGAGATCTTGCTTTTCAGACAGACCAAGTTTAGGGACCATATTTATTTTTAAAAAGCCCAAATTAGATTGGGGAGCTATGATTAAACTTTTTATGTATACCGTACTGCCTAAACATCATTGCTAAAAACTATTTTAAGGAACCTTACACATATTGCCAAAAATAGTATATTACACTACAAAGGCTGGTTTCTAAAAGTAAATTTTAATAAGATCCTTTAACTATTGTAAGGCTTGTTTCCCTAAATATAGTTTTAGGCAATATAAGGTCTCTAAATAGGCAGAAAATACGTTGTTTCGTCCCCGATTCCACGGCAGAAAGTTTACGTTTTATGCATTGGTCAAGCTATACGTATTTTCAGCCGAGGTAGTAAGAAAAGTTTCATTTCCTTCCGCTACCATGACAACGCTAAAGTTTGATTGATTTTGAATGTAAACGTCAGAATTAAATTAAACGTCAGATTTTAATTTTGACACAAGTTTTTTTATACACATTTAATTTTTTCCCGTATTTTCTGCCGGGTACAAGAAAAATAGTGTACACTACACGGGCAGAAAGTGTGAGATTCCTGCACTGCGCGCCATGATGTCCGAGGCGCCATATATCATGGCGCGCAGTTCAGGGCTCTCACACTTTCTGCCCGTGTAGTGTACACTATTTTTCTTGTACCCGGCAGAAAATACGGGAAAAAATTAAATGTGTATAAAAAAACTTGTGTCAAAATTAAAATCTGACGTTTAATTTAATTCTAACGTTTACATTCAAAATCAATCAAACTTTAGCGTTGTCATGGTAGCGGAAGGAAATGAAACTTTTCTTACTACCTCGGCTGAAAATACGTATAGCTTGACCAATGCATAAAACGTAAACTATCTGCCGTGGAATCGGGGACGAAACAACGTATTTTCTGCCTATTTAGAGACCTTATATTACCTAAAACTATATTTAGGGAACAACCCTTACAATAGTTAAAGGATCTTATTAAAATTTACTTTTAGAAACCAGCCTTTACAATACATAGCTAATTATAATCGCCCAATTTTTTATTGGGGATCATTATTTTTCTGTACGTCAGGCCAGGTACGAAATTGTTCATGAGCTGCTATTGTAGTCCTGCCTCGACTGCCACTTCGTTTTAACGCATATCTTTTATCAAGCCAACTAAGTATAATTTTGGCTCCATACGACAACTGACTATTTTCTAAAGCCACTTTGCTACCAACAACATATGAGCCTTGCACCGTATATCCAGGTTATGTGTGTCTTTTGTTTATTATAGACTGACAAAATAAATCACCTTTTTGATAGTCTCTAATTGTTTTGTTTTCGGTATTAGAAACTGCACCCCTTGTAGCCAAAATTTGTTTTAACGGAGGGGCAATGCGGTAATCAAGATGCGCCATTTTATGTCCCGGACGGTACTTAATTTCAAGATTAAAGTCGTGCAGGTTAATCCACCATCTTGCAACACGTGGGTACAGTTCTTTTTTCAAAGCTGTTGCACGTACAGAATTGCAGAGAAAAATCGTAAATTGTATACCGTACAGATAGGTTCGAAAGTGTGTGGCTTCTACGATTGCAAGAGTCTTTAGATCATACGAGTGGGATTCACTATCGGTTGTGAGTCTATTATAATAAGTCAAGGGATGCAAAATATGGAATGCATCTTTTTTTTAGAGGCTTTATTGATCAATGATTAAAGGGTGAAGTTCGGCATTAGCTGTTCTACCACTTAACCCAGAACAAACAAAAATAAACAGCCACACCCTTGTGTGATTCGAACCCACAACTACTCGACTTGTAGTCCGCAGCACTGACTACTACATCACCAAGGGCGGTGGTCTATCAACACTGCTCCTAAACCAATTGAACTTGCGTCCGTGTGCAATTCTATAAGTAAGTCCATATCAAAAACGTTTAAAATTGGATATTTAGTTAGTCGTTTCACTAAATCCAAACGGATATTTTCGCATTCATTTGTGCACACAAAAGGTTGTCCTTTTCACAACAATGTTGCAATGGGTTGCCGCACACCCTTTACGTTAGTAGAAGCAACAGTCTGTGCAAGAGCAATCACTTTTCGAGGGTTTGGCTTTACAGTACTGTCAGTGTTGGTGGGTATGATGCATTAGTCATTGGACCGTAACATTCGGGAGACGCGCTTCGAGCCCGGCTCGCTGGTGAGATAGAAGGCATTTCAGTCTTTGCAATATTGGTTGCCTACTACTGGCGTAAAGTAGAAAACCTATTGTATCTGAAATATTGCCGCATAGCTGGTCAAAGCTAGTTCGACTCTTTTCGGCCGCGTACGGTTTGATAAAACCTACCACTGTGTGTTACTAAGTGCATTGTGATTGCACGCCGCACAGCGAGGCCACGTCTTTAGACGGTAGATGTCTCCAGACTGACTTGCCGATACATCTCGCCGCTGTCCTGGTCACTTATTTCTTTATAAGATCATCGACTGCCTGACACTGATGAGACCCAATAGGTCGAAAGAGGCTGTCTGTCAGTGTTGGTGGGTATGGTGCATTAGTCATTGTACCATACCATTCGGGAGACGCGCTTCGAGCCCGGCTCGGGAAGGCATTTCAGTCTTTGCAATATATATATACCTATTTATATATATATATATATATATATATATATATATATATATATATATATATATACACCCTTAAGGTTCAGCATCTTATTCTGAAACACCCTGTATCTATTATATAATAGATACAGGGTGTTTCAGAATAAGATGCTGAACCTTAAGCATGTGAATCCTTAGTTGATTTTAAGAAAAAAAGTTCAAATAAACCTATGACCTAAACCTCTTAATTTTTAAGTTACAGGGTGTTAAAGTTTTAAGAAAAAAATCGTTTTTATAACTTTAATAACTTTCTAGATATTTTTATAAAATTTGGCACACGCCTTCTAAGCATTAACAGTAAGTTTTTGATGTAGAATATTTTTTATTTTTTTTACCAGTGGCGTCCGTACAGGATGTGGTGTAGATATTTTTGGAAAAATATTATGCACGCCACTGCTATTTTTTAAAATAAAAATTATTTTTTAAATCCCCATTCATTTTAGGGCAAATTTGATTTCTTGACCATTTTTCGTACGACTAACGGTTTTCGATGAAAAAAATAAAAAGCATTTAATGCGCATATTGAGAAAACAATGCCATGAATAAATAAACATTAAAATTAAATTTTATTATGAAATAATTTTAAAAGAACTAACATTAAATAACGCAAAGAAAAACAAAAATAATTTAGATTAGCTGTTGAAAGTGGCCACCACCTGCAAGTATGCATGCTTCAGCTCTTCTCCTCATTGAGTTTTGTACCCTTAGAAAAATTCCTAGAGTATTTCTGATAGTGTCACAACAAACTATTATGGGGTTTCTCAACTCCTCCTCAGTATTTATTGGGGTGCTGTAAACCAACGCCTTAAGATGTTCCCATAGGAAAAAATCTAGACTGTTTAGGTCTGGCGATCTAGGTGGCCACGACTGTGTTCCTCCGCGCCCTATCCAGCGATTTCTATAATGTTCATTTAAAACCAGAAATGGGGAGGGTGCACCATCGTGCATAAACCACATATCTGTCAAAACTGTTAAAAATTATTTATTTTGTCATTCCTGTTTCCTTAACAACAAAGTTTATAGCCTCCTTTTCAGAAATTATAGGCGCATTAAATGCTTTTTATTTTTTTCAACGAAAACCGTTAGTCGTACGAAAAATGGTCAAGAAATAAAATTTGACCTAAAATGAATGGGGATTTAAAAAATAATTTTTATTTTGAAAAATAGCAGTGGCGTGCATAATATTTTTCCAAAAATATCTAGACCACATCCTGTACGGACGCCACTGGTAAAAAAAATAAAAAATCTTCTACATCAAAAATGTACTGTTAATGCTTAGAAGGCGTGTGCCAAATTTGAAAAAATATCTAGGAAGGTAGGTATTAAAGTTATGATCAAAAAACGATTTTTTTCTTAAAACTTGAACACCCTGTAACTCAATAATTAAGAGGTTTAGGTGATAGGTTTATTTGAACTTTTTTTCTTAAAATCAACTAAGGAATCACACACACAACAAAGAAGTGGCCTTTGGGGCATTCCTGGATATCGAAGGAGCGTTTGACAACACGTCATATGACTCAATAAATCGATCAGTAAGAGATCGCAACATAGAACCTCTGGTTGGCAAATGGATCAAACAGATGCTGGCTCAACGACGAGCCAGAACCACTCTTAATAACACAACTGTTAGAGCTAAAGTGTGCAGAGGGACACCACAAGGGGGGTGCTATCACCCAAGCTATGGAACCTCGTATCTGACAGTTTACTGACACGATTGGAAAACAAAGAAATATACGCAATAGGATATGCGGACGACATTGTACTCCTTATCAGAGGCAGCAACACAGCTCATGTGTTTACCAAAATGCAAAGAGCGCTAAACGCTGTCGAAAACTGGTGCAATGAGGAGGGACTTCGGGTAAATCCCACAAAAACTTCCCTTATTGCCTTTTCTCGTAAAAGACAGTTGGAACCCGTGAAAAATCTAATCTTCTACGAGGAAACGCTGCCCTTGAAAGACGAGGTTAAATATCTAGGAGTTATACTGGATAAAAAACTCAGCTATCGGATGCATATAGAAAACATAACAAATAGGGCCATAAAAACCTTCATGACCTTTAAAAGAACATTTGGTAAATCTTGGGGACTGTCACCAGGCATGGTACAATGGGTGTACACAGCTGGGATGTTGCGGATGCCGATTTTTTCACATCCGCGGATGTGAATGCGGATGCGGATTTTTGAAGGCTCACATCCGCGGATGCGGATGCAGATGTTCTAATCCATGCGGAAGCTCCGCATTTGCGGATGCGAATATTCGCAACATCCCTGTAGTATACGATAAGTAATCCACAGCGGAAACAACCACGCAATGATTTATTAACAAGAAACAAATGATGCACCACAACAAATGCTCCCATTGGTCATGATCACGTGCGCACTGCGAACGGCACGCGCTATTCGCCGGCCCCGCCAAATTTCTTTCTTGTGGCCTTCTATAACATTCGCATCCGCATGAACATCCGCATTGATTATTGCGGATGCGGATGCAGATGTCCAAATCTATGCGAAAGCTCCGCATTTGCGGATGCGGATGCGAATATTCGCAACATCCCTGGTACACAGCTATGGTCAGACCCATAATTACCTACGCGGCGCTAATATGGTGGCACGCAACAAAAACAAGGACTGTAAAACAGATACTAAGCAGAATAACTGGTTCAATGACAACTACACCGACCGCAGCCATGGAAAACATACTAGGACTCCCCCCTCTACACATTCAGATTAAAGCTGAAGCGTTAGCGGGAGCCAAAAGACTAATCTCAAATAAGGCCGAAGTTATTTCCAACATCAGACATAATGCCATATTTGAAGAGCTACAAAATACTGGCAGTCCAGCCATTAGAACAGACAAAGCCAAGGTCAAACACTTTAATAAAGCTTTTATCTCAAAAAGGATAAAGGCTGAGGAGATAAACAACCAAATTGCCCAACTCAGGCAAGAAGAAAACCTAATCTGGTACGTAAAACACAAACGGTCAAAGACCTGTGTTTCTGCGGGCATAAAAGAGGTATCTCAACAGGGCAGTTAAGAAATACTAAACCTGGGAAAAGAGATAACCGATCTTCAAGCGGGCATCATTGCCATACAATTGGGTTTCCAACGAATGAGGGAGAGCAATCCCACGGAGAAGTTGCTCACCATCATTACACACGAACCAGAACCAATCCAGGCACTGGAGGCATTTGAAATCAATTCGAAGGCCGTACTAGAATGTCTGAGAGATATGACGGCATTAACCGAAGCACAAAACTAGATAACTCTTATCCTTGTGCAAGAAGAAGGCAGAAACAGTTCGATGAGGTGGAAGCCAAACTTCGCAGCTGATGAAGCCGAAACCCTGCTGATGGGGCCGGAACCCACATGCGGCACCAGCCAAGAATCGTCCAGAAAAAAACTAATTGACTGGACAGAACTACAACACAAACAATACTGGGAAAGCCTGTCTGGTCTGGAGCATTCGAAAGCACTTTTGGACAATCCATCTGCTGAAGGGCAGAAACCAATGAGGACATATACCAGGACCCAACTAAAGAAAGCATTAGGCCTTCTCACAGGCCATGCTCCATTCAAAAAACATCTTCACAAAATGGGGATGACAAATGACCCCTTGTGTAGAGGATGCGAAGAAGAAGAGGAAACACCTCTTCACATTATGTGTCAATGTGAGGGATTCAACACCTTAAGAAGAACACACCTGGGAGAGTCTAAACTCACACCAGAACTTTTAAAATTGCTCCCACTGCCTCGGCTACTGCGCTTCATAGAAGCAACGGAGAGCTATGGAAGTAATACCATTTAGGGCACAATAGGATTGCGAAAGCAAACCGCAGTGCAGGGCTTTGAACCACCTAACGGGGGAGTTTTAGTGGGTATACGTCTAGACGGAGTCCCACACTACTCGGGGCCCCAAGAGGAACCGAGTGTTCGTAAAGAATTTCTCCGCCGGCGAAAAAAAAAAAGGAATCACACCCTTAAGGTTCAGCATCCTATTCTGAAACACTCTGTATTATTATTATTTTATTATAATATCATATATGACTAATAGATTAAAACTGCAAAATGTCCTCTATTAGTATTTTTGAAAAGTAAAAAAAATAATATATATTGATTTAATACAATTACAATAAATTCAATTATTTTTCTAATTACTGTGGTGTCTATTTCAGGCTCTGGGACGATATCTGCTCACGTATCAGTAGAAGGATCCGATTTAGTACGTGACTGGTCTCGATTTGTGGTCGATGTAACGCCCATGGATCCATTTGATTGCGACTTAATTTTGGAAAGTCTTTGCTACTGGACTAATGCCACTTATCAAATAATGGAAGACCAGCCGTCAATAGTTATCGGACCTTTAGCGTCTGCTTACGTCTGGGAAATGTGTCCCGAATATAAATTGCAATACAGATTTCGTAAAGGTTGGTAATAGGATATTAATGTTTTTATCCTAAAAATTATGAGTTTAATGGGATTGAGATTTTCATATTATAAAACATATTAAAAAAAAACAAATTAATTATTATAAATAAGTCCTAAATAAAATCGTACAAATTTAAGTTTTAAAATGTATATACAGGGTATCCCGAAAATGGCGACTTTAAGACAAACTTTTTTTTAAACAAAATTGTATTGCTATAAAATATTACAATTTTTAGGGAAAGAAAATAATTTACGATGAGGTTTAAATACGTATTTCTGAAATAATTATTTAAGCGTGTACGTGTACGATTTTTTAAAACTCAAACCACTCGTCAAAACAATATTTTATAATGATAATCTCGAAAATCATGTTTTGGCCTTGGGTTCCTTTTCTCGGGTCGAGTCACATGGGTATATTGAAAATAAATATATAGATCTGGGAATTAATTTCCTGTTTTTTCTTAATCTAGGTATATATTTAAATAAGCCATCAAATAAAGTAATATTTTTATTAACTACATATTTTAGAAAAAAAACTACAAAATTCGAAGTATTACCTTCCTCAATTAATTTTATACTTAACTAAGGGCCGGTTTATCAATGTCCAGTTAAGTGACTTAACTGGTAAATAAAATTAAAGGGGTTGCTAAACTGTTTATCAATTATTATATTATATGCAACTAACGTTTACTAAGAACTTAAATTAAGATAACTGGAAGTAAATTTAACTGAAAGCTGCAAGTCTCAGATAGTGAATTAACTAGCAGTTATCGCAGTTTATAGGTTATAATTGTATAGTGTTATTTTTTAAATGATAGGTGTGTTTTATGCGCATGCCATGAATTTAAATTTAACCAATTAAAATGTATCTTGACAGTGTTGCCCAATTGCCGAATTACTAAACTGGCAGATAAGAAACTGGAACCGTACGAGGTGAAGAAAAACACTTCTATTAGAATAACTGTCAGATAACTGTAAGATACTTAACCGCCACTTTTATTTAGTTGGACATTGATAAACCGGCCCTAAAAGTACCTTATTCAAGTAGGTAATATAAACACATACCTACTTTAAATTTATATAGGTAACATTCGGTGTTTTAAGACCTACTTATTAAAAATCCTAAATTGACCAAGTCCAGTACGCCCTTTATGCGGATGACACGGCCTTCTGTGGCACTAGTAGAAGAGACATAGATATTCAAAAATGACTCCAACTTTCCCTGGATAGAATGGAGGTGTGGGCTGACAGATGGCGGGTGAAGAAAAATCCTGCCAAAAATCAGGCCATCACTTTTTCTAAAGGGGGCAGAAATATCCAAAGATCCATAAACTTCGAAGGTACCACTCTGTCAAATACTTGGGGGTAACGTTGGACAGAAAACTAATCTGGAGGGAGCATGTAGAGAACATCAAAACAAGAGCCCTTCTAAGAATAAACCTTCTAAGCGGCGGAGAAACAGCAAGCTGAACCTTAAAAATAAAAAGCTCCTGAGTCAAACCACGTCAAGTGGGACCAGATAATTTCACGAAATCACCGATTTTGAAAATAATCACATTATTGTGTAGTACAATTGAAATTTTGTATGTGTTCTTCACGCTGAAAAAAAATTAATCTTGTGTTATAATATGCGGCCGTTTAATAAGATGTACTCAAAAATTTGTCTTTCATATGTCATTCCGGAGATATTAATTTTTTTGTCCCGCTGTGCGCTTTATCAGTACGCGGCGCGCTTTGCTGCTAGCTCGTCCGTTCTAACGTTTTAACGGTGTGCCTGAACGAAGTTTAAGTATGAGTATGGGAACGTATGGCAGGCCCCAGATATATTGTCATCCACTGATCTCCCGGGGTTTTATTACCCCCTTTCCGTTCTCCTGCGTATCCCGCCAAATCACAGCATTACCTGTGTTTGTTGGATCCGAAGTTTTTACGCCGGCTGGTAGATCCACCCTAGGAGTTCGTGGATGACAGTGTCAAAGGTTAAGGAAGCTCCCGGGATTTTTGTCAGCCGGGTCGGGCCATACGTCCAGTTTAGGAAGGGTTTTTGGAGGACATTGAACTGACCCAAAACTAAGTACAATCCGGAATCCTCCTAAACCAGGGCTTTAGTAATAACCCCATTCATTTGGTATTCCTGAATGGGGGTGGGTGGATTAGTATGCTGCTAGCGCCTTTCCTTGATGGTGTACTTCCTGATAGCCACTTTAGAATTGTTTGCCCCCCTGTGCGTTATTGAGTCTTATCTTCCGAACCGAAGTGTTGCCGGCCGCACCCCGCCGTAATATTGCCCTCTGACTATGTGGAAATTTATAGATGTAAACATAAATAAATAAATTTCTTTAGGATGGTTTCTTTTGCTTAATGTTTATCGTAACTTGAGTGATTAATGGCTTCTTATGTGCCCTTGGGTTTATGTTTTTTTTTACTTTTTCATTTGCATGAGAATCTTGGAATTGTTTGCTACTAATTAATTTACCTGAAGAATTATTGTTAGTTAAAGGTTGTGAATTTCGTATTAACTAGTAATAATATTATTGGGTGGACATGGTCATGCAATTTGGTAGCTACTTATCTAGTTTATGCAGACTTGAGACCGGACCGGATTTGCCATGCTGGTGTGCTTAAATTGATCCTTATCGCATGCCTCCCGCACATGTGGTAGCCCAGGAAATTTTCATTGGAACTGATTGTCTCTCTCACACCTTTTAACCAGGTCAAACACTTGAGGACTTAGTCCAGGGGGAGATACCACACATAATTTTGCACTCATTTGCACTTGGGACAGTTATCACTTGTAGAATCGATATTGATTTATTTTTATTTTACGGCGTTAACCAGTTATCCCGTATAAAATCGATATTGATTTGATATTTTTTTTTATTTTACGGCACACTTTTCGCGTTTGTTGCACTTTTTGCACTTGTTTGTTTATTTATTTATTTATTACTGGTTACCTGTATTTCCGCATACTTAGATTCTCTTTTGATACTTTAATACGTTTGTATCGTATACGCTGCTTAGGAGATGTCTTTGAGCGACCTTACACTTCAACAGTCAAGACGCAACAGTGCCTGAACGAAGTTTAAGTCACATAAAAATTCCGCCAAAAACTAATTGTAATTTCTTGTTTGGTGACTTAAAAATGATATTTACCAAAGTTCTAGCTGCTCCTCTTTTCGAAATTGTTCGAAAATTCATGTTTTTTTTTAAATTTGTGTCTCTTTGACAGAGTACACATTTGCACACCGATTTTTATAAAATTGGAGTATATTATTTAGGAGACTTAGAGAATACTTTTTAATACTGTTCACATCATTTGATATATACAGGGTTAGCCAAAAATCACTTATTTTTAATAATGCAAAAGCGTAAATTCATGATTTTTGCATAACACGCCAAAAATATTTATTCCCAATTTTTTTTAGATATTTCTACGTCTATCATGTTACAAAATGGCATTATTATTAACCTTTTACAAGAAAAATAGATTTGTAATAAAATTTAATAAAATAACGCTTAGAGAGTATTTAAAATGTTGTTTAATTTAGGCTTTTTAGTAGTTTTCAATTTTGAACGAAGAATTTTTGATCGGCACTCTTTGGTGATTTAAAAAAGATATTTACCAAAATTCTAACTGTTTTTTTTAATTTGTAAAAAATTTTTTTTTTTTTAAATTATTTGTTTATCGCAAAGTCTACCTTTGCCAGAGTACACATTTGTACACCGATATTGTAAACAAGAGAAACTGTTTTTATACTGAGCACATCATTAGATTTATACAGGGTTAGACAAAAATCACTTTTTTATATAGTAAAAAGCATAATGCATAAAAAAGCGCGAAGCGCGCCGCGTACTGATCAAGCGCACAGCGGGACAAAAAATTTAATATCTCTGGAATGACATATGAAGGACAAATTTTTGAGTACATTTTATTAAACGGGAACGTTTGCCGCATATTATGACACAAGATTAATTTTTTTTCAGCGTGAAGAACACATACAAAATTTCAATTGTTTATAATAAATGTATGCAAAATTCTTTTATTTAAACAAATTAACCTTAATTAAATGATCATTATATAGTCTAAACATTTTTACAATAGTGTGTAAAATTTAATTCAATTATACACAGTGGTCCCAGAGATTCTATTTTTTCAATTTTACCGTGCTCTAAAGTTTGACAAAATTGTCAACCTTAATAACATTACCAAAAAAACGAATTTTAAAACAATTTTTTTACTGTGACATATGAGTCATGCCTACTACACAATAATGTGATTATTTTTAAAATCGGTGATTTCGTGGAATTTTCTGGTCCCACTTGACGTGGCTTGACTCTCCTATGGACTGCCATGATAAGACCAAAGATCTCTTATGCAGCAGCGGCCTGGATCACTGCGGTCAAGACCGATTCAGAACAAATTCATGAGGAAAATTACGTCAGCCCCTTGGTTCATGAGAAATACGCAGCTTAGGAGAGACCTGAAACTGGAACCGCTGCATGATTATCTCAAAGCCAGAACCAGAGCCACAATTGAGAGGAGTAAGCTAAACATGAACCCACTGGCAAACACATGCGTTGACTACATCCGGAAAATCGTAGAAAGTATAGGAGTGCCAGAGGTGCTATCCTCGAACCAGTCGACCCGGGGTAGGTATGTCTTTGTCTGACAGTCCTCCGCACAGTTTCCCCAAGATTTCCTCAACCTCTAGTCAAAACCTATATTCCAAAAAAACTAGTCATCAAAATTACCTATACACTGTTATTGTTCATAAAGTATTTGTCTGTAATACAGTAGAATCTGTAGAACTCTATGAGGAACACCACGTAAAACTTATAGTACTGTAAGTAGAATAATTTATGCTTTTTGTTTATATACTTTTCGTCTACATGCTTTTCGTTTACATGATTTTTGTTTATGCTTACTATTTATTACTTTTGTTGTAAACGCTTGTATATAACCAAACACTTTGTAAATAATACTTTGAAAAGATGGAGT